TTAATCCTAATTCTTAGCGTGGCCTTAAATCCCTAACCTTTATTTTTTCTGTTTCTCTAGCGGCACATTATAGTGCGACTTCAAGCTAATTCAACTTGCAGCAAAACTTGATAATTACCTTAATCTTGTGCAACTGTAGTTTATCATCATATTTTGTTTCTTCATGACTCGGTCCTCTGCTAATGCAATCTTCACCTCCTTTTTCATTGTACATTATCTTGTAACATATAATAAGAAACTGTGTATATTTTAATATATGATCATAATTGCTAGACTATTTTTGGCTCATAATCATTTGAATTTATCATTAGCTTTCTTCAAGAATGTGTTATTAAACGTGAAAGTAGATGCTGAAGTTCACTAGTTGCCAGTTAATTAGAACTATGCTAATATGTTGTGAACAATTCTCGGGTGCCTTGGAATAGTCGGAAGTGGTGGATCCACATGTATTCGAGAAGCACATATCCACTCTAAAATTTAGATTTTCTTTAATTAGTTATTTATTTTATTAAAAGTGTTTATCTTAAAATTTTATTTGTGCTATCTTAATTATTTTGAGTGTGTAAAATAGTGAGTTAAAATTACTTATTTTAATTGTTCCAAAAAAACTTATTTGAAAGTGTAAAAACATAAACAAATCAATAAATTAAACAAAAACAATTATAATAAAAATTTAAAATCAATATAATATATGAGTAACATTTTATTTAAAATATTATAAGATTTTCTTCCAACAAACATCCTTTGACATTTCGACATTTCTAGAAAGATGAATGATGATGTTGTTGAGGTAACTTTGAAGGGGGCTCCATTAGCTGTCACGGTTGATTTAATTAAACCTTCCAGTCTTCCACTTCCAGTTTTCCCATAATGTTCCTCCTACAGTAAGGTCTGAAAATTCTACTAGACAGGCTGAGCCCACCCCCTAGATTTAAATATGTGACCTTAATCCTATCACACTCTTTTTCCAAATTACTTATAGGCTTACAGTTTATGCAATCAAACTCGTTGCATTGACTTAGCTATCTCGGCATAACTATTCTTCAAAATCAAACCTAACGAGTAACGAAGAGGTGTATTGGTTTAAGGATCAACCAAAATAAGTTAAGAGGGGTGAATTGGTTTTTAAAAATCTTTGGTATAAAAATAATAAAAGATAGAAAAATAGACACAACGATATATTGTGTATTGACTTTTCAACCAGATCTACATTCACTACCTTAACTCCACATTAAAGATTTTTAATAAATTTATTAATTTATTATTACATTTCAAGGATAAGGTGTAACATTTATAATTCTCTATTTTTTTGAAAGGTTAAACTAGAAATCTCCCCTTTTATAAAGATTTATTTTGTGTAAACAATAAGATTTCTCTAGGTAGATGTTTATAAGAATTAAGCTTACTAGAATAAAATATAAAGATTTTCAATAAGCTCAAAACACTATGTACAAGAGAAAATAAATAATAAAAAGTTAAGATTCGTTTCTCTTGATCTTTAAGCTTGGATAAGTGTAATAACATTCTTTAAGTGTTTTTGGAGTGTTTTTATATGTTGGAATGAGTTTCTAACCGTTATTAGGGTTGAATTCTAGTCGTTGGGTAGTTAATTTCAACATTGGAATCTGCCAGACTTAACAGTATCAATACTATTTCTTGCAATATTGGTACTACATGTGCTAAATTAAAAAATCTAGCTATTGGGGAAGTTGGAGTATCAATATTATACATAGGAGTATCGATACTACTGTTATAAGCAGTATAGATGCTCTTAGGAATATCAAAATCATTTTTGTATTCTGGAATTTGAACATATTTAAAATCGAAGGGTAATATCAGTACTACTAAGAGAGTATCAATACTACTATTATATGTAGTATTGTTACTATAAGAACAATATCGATACTGTTAATACAACATTGATACTTTAATAACAATATTGGTACTATTTACCCAAAAAAATATTTATGTGTTCAAATTCTTGTTTTAAAGTGCAAAAATGATAGAAAAAAAATGTTTGACAAGATTTGATAAAATTGAATCACATTAAACATATTTTCAAGTTCATTTGGACTTTGAATTATTTTTTAAATATATGAACAAATTAATTAAGTTCAAAAATATTTTATCTTTATTTGTTATATCAAAATATAAATTTAATTGTATCCCTACTAAGGACCCCATAAAAAAGATTACTTTATCCCTACTAAGGATCCCATAAAAAATATTACTTTAATTAATTCTAACTGTCAAATTTATATGATCATATGTTATGTGTTTTGATCTTAAAAAAGATAATACATATAATTTGACCATTTCAATCATAAAATTTAACCTCATGCATCCAAATTATAGCTATGGAGAGGAATGGACGGTAACCATGATCATTTCACCCTTCTTTTAAAGGTCTAGAACTCAATTATTCATATACTTTGTATGCACGTTTGGGAGTAAAAAATTGTTTTCTATTCCTATATTTTCAAACTTCGAATGACCAAATATCACGTTACGACTTTTCTTGGGCATGGTGGGTTCAAAAGGAAATAAAGGTGAAAACAACATTAGGAAAAATGAATCACTTTTCTTTTCTCTTTAATACTTTTTTTTAATGCACGAACTACACGATCTATGTGGTTAAGAAATTTGTTGTTATCCCTTAAAATTTTGGATTCGAGCATTACGTATGTTGTAGTATGAGCATTTATTGTTAAAGAGTTAAAGATTTTGAGCATATACTACCCTTGTATTATCTCAGATTTATACAAAAACTAATGTGTGTATATATATATATATATAGGCTACTACTAATCACATGGGATTGAGCTATAACAATCATCATATCCTTTAAAAGTATTCAAAAGACACTTAGATCACATGGAGTTGGAATCTTATTCTACACATGTAAAAGTTTTTTTTGTCCTCTTGAAATTACAATGAAATTGAACAAAAACACGCTCCATTCATCCATGAAATTAAATCAATATTTTCTTTTCTTTACAATGTCCAAGAATCTTAATCAGAAAGGTGGAAGTAGACAAGTGTACACATAAATCTCAAGTTCTTTCAGTCAACTAAAGTATAGTTTATTTAATTGTGGTCGGGGTTTCTTGGTAGGTTTACCTGAATATTCCTTCATTTTTTCTAAACCAGCTCTGTTCCCCCCCCCCTTTCCAATTGAATTGGCAGACAAAGAAGTTTTGGAATAATTATTAACAATGCTAAACTCGTTAAACATTAGCTTGCAAACAGTATTGATATTGAAAGATGCTTTTGGGGTTGGTTTGTGCTATTGTTTGGTACCTTATTACCCACTCTTTGTGAGGAAAGTTCCCCCTTAATTTCACAAAAGGGAGACAAAGGAAAATGGGAGGAAGATGACCTTTGCTGCAATGTGCATGAATGGCAAATTTAAGTATCACTATAATAGAACTCGTTAGAAAATGACCATCCAGCTCAGTTGGTAGAGCACAAGGTTCTAAACCTTGAGGTCGTGGGATCAAGTCCCACGGAGGGCATTTCATAATTTGGAGGTCTCCTACGGAAGCTGCTCTCAACCTGGTGTTGGGGGCAGCCTACTATCTTACCTCCCCCTTACCCCATACATATGGGAAAAAAGGGACAGCCATTTATAATAGAACTCGTTAATCATAAGTGGTTAAAAAAATGTTGTTCTCTTTAGAGATTATGAATTTGAGCAACTACATCTGTAAGGTGTATATGTTTTCAATAATAAATAAAGATACTGAATATATATTATTTTATAATCATTTCAGATTATTTAAAAAAAATCATCACGGTGGATTCATTTATATGTACACCATCCACATCATGATTGTACAAGGTGCACATGCAAAAGAGATAAGGGTATGTTTTCATTGGCTTGATGAAGAGGGTTAAACTTAGATGAGACCGAATGAGGAGTTCCATTGAAAAAGGGAGTGAAGTGGAAGAAAAGTTTCTCTATAGTCCAAAGGAGAAAACAAAGATTTTGAACCAATAATTGATCCTATTTTCTTTCTTACATAGAGAAAACTAACAGATTTGAAATTTTAAGTTGCTTATGGAATGAAATTCCAATAATCACTTGCAAATGATTAAGTTACAATCTTACAGATCGCAGGAGAGGGGAAAAAGCAAAAGGAGTTTGATGATGTTGGGTCTTTTTTATTATAATTTTCAAGCCATCAAAACAATCACAAGCATGACATGACACAATAAATTTAATTAAAAAGAAACCTGACAAAAACATTAACCCACTTGCTCGCCATGGCATGTCTTTCTCATAATTGTATAAAATTATATAAGAATATCACAATTCTGTCAAAGCTGGCAACACCCGACATCAAACATTGGCTTCTAGCACATTGCCATGGTGGCTGTGCTGTCCTTTTGGCCTTGGTACAAAGTGTAACTTCAGCTTTGGCAAAAGCTGCATTTGCTCATCCCATGTTTAAAAACAAAGGCTTGTATGTGGGTTATTTTCATCGTTGATGATATTTGTTATGTTGGCAAACATGAAATGGTTAACAGGAGGAGACACCTAATAAAGACACTGGAGGCGTGCAAGGCAGATTCGATGGTTCATTTTGTTGAATAATTTGGTAGAATTCTGTTTCTAGTGTCATTAGAGATTGGATTGAGGGGTGTTGAGTCCTGAAAATTTTAAATTCTCTTATAATTTAAATATGTTTTTACTAATAATCTAATTTTACATCTTTAAAATTTTATAATTCTACACCCTTTAGATTTTTAACATAAATTTTTAAGTTCGCATCTACCCTAACAAAGTACATGAGTGTCATCATCTACCAACAATTCCATTATGGGCAAGCTTTGCACATATTCCACAAAATCATACAAGTAAAAAGTCCATTTTCTCACTTGTTTTTTTTTTCTACTTTGATAGCTTTTGGTTTACAGCTTTTTAGAATTGCCAACATTCAACTCTTTAACATCAAAATCCTAGAATCCAACGTACATAAGAAAAAGAAAAGAAAATCCCAAACAAGCTTTGAAGTTCCATGTTCAACTCCAAATTCTTTATTTCTTATTTACACTTTCATTCCATTAACCTTAATCTAGAAATCTATACCATAAACCCTATTTCTCCTCATAGAATGGAACAAGCATTAGGGTTCTCATCATTAAACATTTGGTGACGTGGATTAACATACACCGGATGACCCGGAACATAGCCGGGGTAACCATGCCCATGCGGGTGCGGATACGGGTTTCCATGACCATACCCGTAACCATAACCCGGATGCCCATATCCAGGATAACCCTGCATGTAAACAGGAGCATATCCAAATTGGGGTTGAGCCATAAACTCCATTCGGTTCCCTTCCATCTTAGCACCACCAGAACCTCCACCATCTTCACCACCATTGCCACCTTTGTTCTTCTTCTTCTCTCCGCCGCCGCCACCACTCTCGCCGTCCTCTTTGTTGCCGTCTTTCTCTTTCTTAGGTGCTACAATCTCAACATTCTTCTTGAGTTTGTCCTTCAAAGCCCCAGCCAAGGCCTTAACATCCATAGTCCCCTTAACTGTGACTAGCTCCTTGTGACTGTCTACTTTCAACTCATGCACACCTACAAACACCGTGAAAAAAAAATCAAAACTCAGAAACTAATACAAGATTTCACCGCCGTAAGAGTAACGGAAGGGAAAAAGTTTATAGGCAATTAGCAATGATAAGTCATCCACCTTGGGTTTTAGAGACAATTTTACGAATCTTATCAATGCATCCATCACACTGGCATTTCAGTTGCACCTTCAAATCCGCCTTCGTCACTGGAGCCTGAACAAAATAATAAATATATATTTATTTTTAAATGAACTGAAAATTTGAGAATAAGATATGGGAAATTCTTACCTCTTTGGGTTTTTTCTCTGATTTATTATCAGAATCCTGCTTTTTCTCTTTGTCTGGCTTTTTCTCTTCTTTGTTGTCGTCTTTCTTGGGTTGAGGAGAAACGAGGTCAACTTTCTTCTTAGTTTTCTTCACGAGCTTCTCTTTCATGGCAGTCGGATCCATAGTTCCTATCACCGTCACTCTGTTTAAGCTCATCTCAGTTTTTACCGTCTCCACCCCTGCAAAACAGAGTAAATAGCAAAAGCCAAAAAGGCTTAACAAACCAAGATGAAGAAACGAAGACGAAAAGGGAGGGAAACCCCAGAAGCAAAATGGGAATCTTAAACGTACAAGATGATTGTACCTTGAAATTCATGAATGTGCTTGAGGATTTTGGTTGCACAGCCTTCACAAAAGCAATCAAACTTGAGAACAATGGTTGAGGATCCCTTTTCCTTCTTTTCTCCATCCCCGCCCTTCTTGCTTCCATTCTTTTTCTGTAACGGAGACAAAGAAGAACCATCATCTACTAAACCATATTGATTAACAACAAAAAGTAAAAATGAAAGAAGATGAAACAATAAGAAAGAGAGGGAAATGGGATTGGAATGGAGAGTATTTTGCTTACTGACCTCTCCCATTGCGACTCAGAATCCGTTAAAGAAATCTGGGTTTATGAATTGTGATGAGTGGAATGGGGAAAACGAGAGGAGTATTTATAGTAGAGTGAAATAGTGTTAGTGAGGATGATGATGGTGGTTGGTGATGTATGAATGGATGATTTAAACGCGTGGAATGAAGAGTGTGACTTAGGGAGTAAGGGGTTGAAAAAGTGGGATACTTCGTAGAAAATGACATGGAGGATTGAATTGGGAGGTTCTTCCCTCTTTCCTTCTTCATGTACATTTATGCACCACTTGAGCGTAAGGTACAAAAAAAAAATTGTGAGATATTCGAGTTTGATAGGATCAAAATTTGATAAATATTTTATTCGAATGGACTCGATTTTTTAATGAGTCAAAACGAATTACTTGATACTCGACTTAAAAAGCTCGTGAGTAACTCGAAAAAATAATATAAAATTTTATTTTGAAAAATAAATTATTAATAATATTAATATTTATGTGTTATTTTAAAAAAAATCAGTATAAAATTTTCATCTACTTAAGGTTTAGGTTCAAGTTTGAATTTGGATTTCAATCGAGTTAAGTTTATTTTAAGCTTTTTCGACTTAAATTCATGGTTTTGATTTCGAGTCGAGCTTGAAGATATTAAGCTCGAGAGCTTTCAAGCCAAGTCGAACTCTATTTTAAAATTTTTGAGTCAAATTCAGTCTAGCTCTACTTTAAAGCTTTTTCGACTAGACCCGAAGCTGATCCTAAGTATTCATATGCCACCTCTAATTGTGTATCAATTTAATTTATAAATTTATATAAATATATTATATTGAGAATACATCTTTTAAAAAAAATTAAGAATAAATGAAAATCTTTATACGGCCCAAAACAGAACTACTTAATCTAGACAATGGCCATAAGAATTATTAAAAAGAAAAGCCCATAATGCTGAGGTAAGGTTGGTAATTTCTCATTAATAATAAGGGAGTGTTTGGTTCAAGGACTGTGGGATTCTCATGGGATGGGAATCCCACATTCCCATGTTTGGTTGGCCGGGAATCTCATTCCCAGTAATGTTTTATTACCAATAGTATATTTTTTGGGTATATTACCAGGAATGTTATTACCTCCATTCCCTTAGGTATTGTAACATTACCGGCGTTTTGGACTAAAACGCCCTTAAATTTTTATTTTTTTTCAAAAATATCCTTATTCTATCATTGAATAATAAAAATTCTACGAAGGTTAAATTACAAATTTATCCTTAAATTATTTTAGATTTACAAAAAAAATTCTATAATTAAAATTTTATATGAAATTCAAAGATTAAAAAAATTTACTCTTTCATTAAACCTTTTTTATATTTTTAATTTTGTAAAAAAAATTATATAAATATTATGAATTTAATTTTTTTAAGAAAATATATAAATATTTTACAATTTGTAATATTATACAAATATATAATAAAGACAATTTGGTCAAATATACATTCAAATAATTTTTTATTCCTTTAACCAAACACGGTAATCTTATATTCCTACTAAACCAACCAAACACAAAATACAGCATTCCCAGTAATCCTATTTCCTGGTAATCTTTTACTCCCACTGGTAATCTTATATTCCGTGAACCAAACGCACCTCAAATATATCTTCATAAGTTCTCTGTGTATAACTGGCATCTCACCCTCTCCTCCACAGCATTCAAATCATGGTCTTTCAAGAATATTTAGGGTTTCGGATCTATTCAAACGAATAGAAAAGCTGTTTTCTTGGAGCAAATTATAGTGTTTAAGAAAGAAAGAAGATTCACAATCTGGTCAGTGTGGATGGAATCGGTTCCCATATGACTCGTTCCCTTGAAGCCATATCCATTGTGTTGCTTTCATCTTTTACCTCTCCCTGCAATCCTTTTTCTTTCTAGTTTTTGTGAGAACAACTGGGCAACTAAAGAGAAAAAGGTATAATTTGTTTGGGAGTGTTTTAATGGTTGAAGAACGGTGATGAGTTATAACAGACCTGTAATGAATCGCGGATATGATCGCAGTTGTTTTTGAACATCTAAGGGACTGAGTTCTATCACCGTTAATCACTCCCTAAATTCCCCTCTTTCTTTTTCTTTACTTTTAGTTGTCAAATGATCAGTGGCTTCTTTCTAATTTTAGATCAAAAACTCTGAATGGTTTTTGTGATGGAAAGAAGCCTAAATAGATTTGCTATCCTTTGCTTCAATTTGATTTCGCTTTGGGACGTCCCCTAAATTAATTGAATGCATGTATATTTAAAATAAAATTAAGGGTAAACTACATCATATTCCACCAATTTTTAGTTGGTGTATCATTTATACCATTGAACTTTTAATTTTGTTAATTTTAGCATTGAATTTTGATTTTCATTTCGATTATATCATTGGACCATTAAATCGTTAATAGCCAGATTGAAACGATGTTGTTTTGATGAGGTGTTTATGTTGCCAGTTGTTAGCAACGTCGGTAGTCGCATGGTTTAATGGTTTGTATAGTTGAAATGAAAATAGAAGTTTGAGATATAATTTGTAAAATTGAAAGTTTAGTGATATAAACGACAAATGTCTAAAACTCAGTGGTATCTGATGTAGTTTATCCTAAAATTAAGTGAATGCTAATGTATTTATAATATATCGTATAAGAGCAATTGATTACATCACATAAACCTTGCATTGTTAATTTATGTTGCACTTACATAAAATGAAAATTTCCAAAAATATAAGGTGCAGGACGATAAAGGTACTAAAAAATCATAAATAAAGTTAATATTTTATATAAAATTAAAAATTAAAATCATATAAAATTGGAAATTAAATTTTTTAAGTAAATCACAATATTAAATTAGATGTTTAGTTTATATTTTAATTTGATACTTGTCGTTAAAAATGTAATAGTAATGTTGATGTGTCACCATAAGATAATATCACATTATTATTGATAAGTAAAATAATCTCACACCGGTAGTTCTTTTAATTTTTAATGATATAATATCAAATTAAAACATAAAATAAATGTTAAGTTTAATTTTAAAAATAAAGTTTAGGTACCAAAATAAAATAAAATAAAAGTAATAGTTTAGATACTAAACTTGTAGTTTAGCCTAAAATATTTAAGAAACCAAGAGATAGAAAAAGGAAAAGACTATAAAATAAGTACCAAACTTGTCTACAAGATAAAGATGAGGGATAACCTTGACTTTCCACCAAAAAGGAATTCCCGAAAAGTCAAGTCGTTGGTCAAAATCTCTAAAACTATAATAACACCGCCATTAACACGCAAAGCGAAGACCAACACCTTCCCCTTTACACACACACACACTCACTCATATATATATATATATATATATATATATATATATATTCCTCCATCTCTCAATTTCTCTGTCATAGAGGAAGAAAACAAGGGCAAACCCTAATTCGAACGTTGTTGAAAAAGCAAAGAACAAATTAAGGAAAAACTTTAGAAGAGGAAGAAAAAAAGCCTAGAGAAGGCGATGTCGTGTTCAGTTACCATCTGTAGCTCACCAGTGTTCTCTCTGTCTTCGTCTCTTTTCTGTACCAGAACTTCGATCAGCTCTCCTCAACCCCAACCTTTGAACCCATCGTTGGTTCACCTCAAAACTTCGTCCTCTTCTCCTGCTTCACCTCCTACTTCATCGCCGTCTTCGCCTTTTAGGATTCGGCTTCATAAACCGCCGACTGGGTCCTTGTTATCTTCTTCTGCTTCAGCATCATCGTCTTCTTCCGTTTCGAGCTCGGCTGCAGGTCTGGGACCGGGATCGGTGTCGACGATTTGGAAGAGGAAGAGGCCAGCGAGGCTGGATATTCCGGTAGCGACGACGGCTGTGTGTTTTGGGGTTCCAGCAACTCCGTGTGAAGTGGGGGGAGAGGTGGAGAGAGAAGGAGATGGCTATTCGGTTTACTGTAAAAGAGGGAGGAGAGAGGCTATGGAAGATAGGTTCTCAGCTTCTGTTGAGCTCCAAGGAGATTCAAAACAGGTATTTATATTTTTTGGGCTTTTTTTCTCTTGTGATTTTCTGCTTTCTTGTTTGCTTGATCGTAATAAATTTAGAATTTTAGTTATTTTAGATTAGCATAAAAGAACAAAGTATTCTTTTGATGAATTCTGAAAGTTTGGATGAGTGAATTCTGCTAGGTTCCATTAGAATTGGAGGATTTTATACTAATGAACAAGCAGAAAAAGATGGATAGTTTCATTAATTTGGATTTTGAATTAATTTTAAGCTGGTGAGACATACGGTTTTATGTGATGATTGCAGGCCTTTTTCGGTGTTTTTGACGGACATGGAGGTGCTATAGCTGCAGAGTTTGCAGCCCAAAAATTGGAGAAGAACATCATAGATGAAGTTGTTAGAAGAAGGGACTCAAGCAAAGTAAAGGAAGCTGTTAAAGAAGGTTATTTGAAAACAGATGCCGAGTTTCTTAAGGAAGACGTCTCCGGTGGCACATGTTGTGTGACAGCATTGATCCAGAATGAAAACCTTATTGTGTCCAACGCTGGTGATTGTCGCGCTGTTATGAGCAGAGGTGGTGTCGCTGAGGCTCTTACCTCCGATCACAGACCTTCAAGGGAGGACGAAAGAAACAGAATCGAGACTTCTGTAAGAAGTTTTGCCATAAATCAATCATCTCTGCCTTATTCACATTCATGATGTGTGCATTTTGGGATGAACTCGATCTGAACTGTGACTGATTCATTGTGTGAAAATTCTGTTTTTGCAGGGTGGCTATGTGGACTTATGCCGTGGTGCTTGGAGAATACAGGGTTGTCTTGCTGTTTCCAGAGGGATAGGAGATCGGCACCTTAAAGAGTGGGTAATATCGGAGCCCGAGACAAAGATTGTCTGCATCAAACCCGAGTGCGAGTTCTTAATATTAGCTTCTGATGGGTTATGGGATAAGGTTACCAACCAGGAAGCAGTTGACATTGCTCGTCCTTCATGTCTAGGCATCTGTAAGCAGAATGCTTTGGGTGCCTGTAAAAAACTTGTTGATCTTTCTGTTTCACGAGGCTCATCCGATGATATTAGCGTGATGCTCATTCAACTGGGCCGTTATATTTGATTAATTCATAGGAGAAATTAGTTTATATTGGTAGGCAGTGTTTAAATTTATTTATCGACCATTCTTTTCCTTTGTGGGGATTTTTATACACACTGCCGAAAAAGACATTACAGAGACTCGGCTAAACTTGTTTATATATTGACTGGCATTCGTTGACCTTAGAGTTGTAAATTAGGATTTAATGTAAAGGGAAAAGAAAACTAAAAACCAGCACTTGGTCATTCGTACTTCAGGAATCAGCTTCCTCCTACACTACGACTCGGCTGTTCTGCAGACACCAAATCTTCAATCTTAGTCGGTGGCAATTGGAAAACCTGGTTACCAAATGGTATTTCCCATGCAATCTTCGCCATGCTGCCTGCTACCTTGTTTCCTTCACGCGGCACATGCCGAAATTCTACTCTCCATTCTCGTTGGATCATAACTGTGATATGCGGCATCATTGATGAGCTGAAATCTACATCCTCACCTCGAACAAGAAGATTGAAAGCATTTTTACTATCCACTTCAATGATGACATTTTTGTACTCTCGATTCCATGCCAATGAAAGACCCTCATAATCTCCTCATAATTCTCCGTCAAGTACTGAGCATAGGCCAATAGCTGAAACCCACAATCCAGTGTCCGTGGTCATCCCTTATCACTCCCCCACAATCTACTAAAGCCGTGTTCGGCTGACGAGCCCCATCCATGTTTATTTTGCACCATCTGTATGGAGGTGATTGCCATGGGATTTGGTGGTTTACTCGAGCTCATTGGTGGTCCATCCGAGCAGTATTATTTTCTATCGCCTATCGTACTTCTTGAAGTCGAAAACTCTCATTCAAAATACTATTTGTTTCTCGAAACTTTGAATCGAAAATCAATCTATTTCGTCGGTTTCAAAGAATCCAAATGATCGAGCCAAATAGTAGGTCCCAATCCTCATGGTTGAGGGGGAAGTATCAAGGCTTATGTAAGTTGAAATCTATCCAATCCACTATCTCCACGTTCATGAATTCTTGCAATAAAGATGGCTTAATGCCCGCTCTCCATGCCGCTCTTGATACAGGGCACTCTCGGAAAATATGTGAAATATTTTCCACGCTTCACAGCTAAGGCAGCCCGCGTCGTTCGCTGTATTTTTATTGTTATACTATTAACTTTTGAGATAAAAATACATTTAGCATATAATTAATATAATTAGTATATGAAATTTATATTTTGAAATAATTTTTATACAAAATATAATATAATATGAAAAAAATAATATGATAACCTTGAGTGGACAAAGATATTTTTTTTCAAAATACGAGAACTATATTTTTAATAACTCCAAGTTAGATATTATTTTAAATAATTACATATTTTTTAATAATATATTTTTTCACCTCATAAAAGTATAAGTGATTAATATATTAAATATTAAAAATATAAAATAATTGTAACTACTCAAATTTATTAGTATTTTACTAAATCAAACTTTTTGTATATTATTAACTTTATGTTTATAAGTTTGAGTAAAGTACGAAGAATATAATTGAGATGAATATATATGAAAAGAATTTATTATTTTAAAGGTATTCTTGTTTAAAGTGATGAAAAATATGTGATATATAAAAATTTGGAGGTAATAATGACATTTCCATCATTTTAACCAAATGTTACTACTATTGGTAATAACCAAAAGAATGCAAGGAAAAGGACCCATTGAGTGGTCTTTTAAATTGATTTTTATCGGTTGATATAATTGTTTTTCCTTGAAGTTTTGAGTTCAAACAATTATATATGTAGGATGTATGATCTATGTTCAAACAACTATATATGTAGGGTGTGTGATTTGAGTTCAGAAAATTGTATTTGTAGAGTGTATGTACATTATTAATTATTAAAAAAGATTAAGAACAAATATTATCTTATAATTACCTTAAATTATTCAAAAAAATACAAAAAAAAATATAATTCAAAGATGACATTCGCGTTTACTATCGTTTATATTTTATACCTCTCTGTAGGCTTTTATAAAAGGAAAGTGGGACCAGAAATCTTGCACCAGGACCCCATTAGCTAACCCAATTCAGTATGGTCTTGGACGGTTTCATCGCTTTTATCAAAGGATGGAATTAGTTTGGGGCCATGTTTTGTACGATGCTCTTTTGGCACTGCCATTTCAATCAATGGATGCTTTCCTTTTGGAATCCTTGGTGATGATTACAAGCTTTTGCTAGCTAAGGGACATACCTCTATTCTTCTATATATGGCTTCACAAACACAAGGCTTTTTGCACAGCCAAGTAGCAGAATGAGTTTGCTCTTGGGACTTACAAGAAAGAGGTAAGATAGTGCGGTGCAGCCAAGGATGACTTGCCGGCGGAGAGCAGAGTTGAAACCAAAGGCATTAATGGTATTCCGACCGGCAAGTTGTCCTTGGCTGCATTGGGTTGTCTTCTTCTCATGTAAGATGTGCATAATGGCGCAATAATATAGAGGCATATTTGATTAATCGCCGATGTCGAAAGTGTCTTGCTTGAATAGGTTGAGAATTTAGTGCAGTCAAGGATGACTTGTCGATGAAGATGGTACTTATGCTTATGCACCATATTGCATTTACCGGTAAGTCGGTCCTTGGCTACATTGATTTTTCTTCTTCTCATGCAAGACCTGTTCTGGTAATCAGGATGAATGAGGGTGGGCGCAAGATTTTACACTAGAGGCGTGGATTTCTATAATTTCAAAGGAATGTAAACTTATAAAATTTTAGAAGAGAAAACAAATTATCAATAGAAAATATGAAGAAAATATCTAAAATATATGATAATTTAAAATTTCTAATAGAATTAAAGAAACGGGGAAATCTCTTGTTTTTGTTAAAAGGAAAAAAATATTTGATATTATTTCTATTTGATTAATGCATGATGTTAGTGTAGAGGACAAAATCTTTGGTGTATTTCCCAAATTAGTAAGTTCTGAAATATATTTATGGGCCACATATTTAAGCAAAATACTTTCTTTTTGGTTCCGCTGATAATTTAGGCGTGAGGTGAAAGCGAAGTAAGATTTAGTAATAAATTTAAAAAGAACGAGAGTGTTGTTTTTTCTAAAAGTTTCATGTTCAAGTAATTTCATCTAAAAAATGTTAATGGAAATGGAAATAAGAAATAAGAAAAAATTAGTCCCTGACAATAGCACCAAAAACTTGATGTGTGTGAATAATGCATTATGTGCATGCACACACACATCGTTCGAGTAATAAAAGTGGATACATGATAAATAATAGTGTGTCGAATGTTAAACTCATAGGGACTAGGTTACCTACAAAATAGATCCATCGCATTCAGTTAGCTAAACCAAATAAGATAGTGCACTGAGATTTGTGGGAGGAAAGAAATAAAAGAACGGATGTTGGATTCACACGCACGAAACCATTGTGGCGAGATCAACACAAAGTCTAAGGATACTGAATTTAATTAAACTGGAAATATCCAAGCAACTTCAATACTGCAAGAAGAAAATGCACTGGTATTCAACGAGCAGCTAAGGATTCCCCTTTCTCGATGGCAGAATCAAACGAATCACTCGAGTCACCAGTGTTTCCAAGGGTCACCAGTGTTTCCTAATTTTAATTTCACTCAATAAATTTAATAAATTTAGTCCTCAACATGCAAATCAAATCATACAATACTCCAATGAACAATCTTCAATAGCAAGAAAATTATATAGGATTGAAATAAAAGGAAATGAACTTTATCCTCGTATTGTGTATCACAAAACAGATAAAGACATTATACTTGTAATGTTCCGATTTTCTAGATCAACGTGTGAGGGTTGACCCGAGAGTTATGTGGACCGTGTGGAGTTGTAATTTAAGTCGTGAGAGAGTTATGTTGACCCGAGAGGTGTAGAGAAAATGAGAGAGTAGTGAGAGAATTTCAGAGAAGCCGAAGAAATATAATAAAATAAAATAAAATTTATGGAATTTATTCAAAGTACTATACAAATTAGGGCTGTTCATGGACGGTTAACCGTACTATTTAGCCAAAACAGTCAGTTAACCGTTATAATGATTACGAGATTTTTCTAACCATAACTTAACCATTAAGAAACAATTAACTGCTAATGGTTAATCGTTATTAACGGTTCAGTTATAGGTTAACATATGATTAACCTATTACAATTATTTTTCAAAAATAACACAACATTAACGTTTTAAAGTTTCATAATTCATACTACAAAAAAGTGTAGCATTTAACACATACTTACACTGGTGTAAGTATGTACATCTCCCAATATCTTAGTACCTAAAAATAAATATATAATTATATAAGTGTAAGTATGTTTATGTATTTTTAAAGAAATACAAAATAATATATATATATATATATATATTAAATTATATGTGTACAAATTTTGTTAAAAAATATATAAATTTTAGAAATATGGCTAAAATTTACTTCTAATTCTATTAGTATTTTCTAAAAAAAATCATAATTATAAATTTAATTTATTAACGTTTAACCAACTTATAAAAATTCGTAATCGTAACCTTAGACCTTTAACCATCATGTTTAGTGATTCGGTTAACATAAATCATTTAACATTAACGGTTTGATTAATTAACCTATTAAATTTAACGGTTATACAAGTTAACAGTTAACAACTACAGGTTTTTTTGAACACCCCTAATGTTGTGGAATTCGGGTTAATTTCCACCAATAATAACAAATTCACCTTGTAAACTATTATCTAGGTGACTAGTGTGAAAACGATTATACTAAAAATCACCCCAAGGTAGATTCCCAAGAAAGAGGAGGGGTCACAATGGTCCATCTTAAAATCCACTTTCCTTAGACAGAACTACCAAGACAAGTAATTTTAATAGGACAATAATTAACAACAACTATACCCGACAATAGCTATTAAATAGACATAAAGAGAACACCAAAATTTAACGAGGTTAGGCTAAAATTATGCCTACCTCCTCGAACACTACTAAAATAATATTTCACTAATAGAGGAAATATTACAAAGAGAGAAAGAGTACAAATAGCCTTTAATAGTGTTTAATAGTGAAGAAGGCTTATATTTGTAGGATGCTAAACTAAGGAGGAGGAGAGCTCTATTTATAACAAAAGAATTTCCCCTCCTCCTTATACAAAACCAATGTGGGATATTTGCCAAAAACCAACAAAT